TGATCTGGGGGTTGTTAGTTCGAGTCCCACACTGGATGTAGAGATTATATAAAAATAAAATCTTTAAATAAAATGAACACTAGCAGCAATATTAACAGCTAACACAGATGTTTATGAAACAGCTAACATTTACAGCAATGTATCCCAAAGTGTAATATGCATACCTGGAGTAATTCTAGAGATTTATGTAAAACAAACATGAAGTTTCATATGTTAATAGATAAGTGTTTGCTTACTTGATGAAAACATGGCTTCTGGGCCATCTGAGTGACAGTTGGGCATCCAACTTCAGCTCAGGTCATGATCTCACTACTCGTGAGTTTGAGCTTTGGTTTCTGTGGCTCCCTCTTTCTCTGCCCCTCCCTCTGTCTCTGTCTCTCTCACTTTCTTTCAAAAATAAATAAATAATAAAACATTAAAAAAAACATTAAAAAAAATTTTTTACTGTCTTGCTGAAGCGTCTGCGTGGCTCAGTCAGTTGAGTGTCAGACTTGATTTCAGCTCAGGTCATGATCCCAGGGTTGTGGGACCGAGCCCCACATTGGGGTATGCACTGAGTGTGGAGCCTGCTTAAGATTCTCTCTCTCTCTCTCTCTCTCTCCCTCCCTCTGCCCCCTGCCCTGCTTGTACACTCTCTCTCTCTCTTTCAAATACATACATACATACATAATAAATTTAAAATGGCTTGCATATAAAATTTATATCTTCATAGATACTGCTAAATTTGAGGCAAAGTAAAAAGAAGTTAAAGTTACTTTTTAAAAGTTTATTTATTTATTTATTTAATTTAAGTAATCTCTACACCCAACCTGAGACTCAAACTCATAACCCCAAGATCGAGAGTTGCATACTGGGGGCCCCTGGGTGGCTCAGTTGGTTAAGCATCAGACTCCTGATTTTGGCTCAGGTCATGATCTCACAGTTCGTGGGTTCCAGCCCCATGTTGGGTTCCGTGCTGTCAGTTTGGAGCCTGCCTGAGATCTTCTCTTTCTCCTTCTCTCTCTGCCCCTCCCCCACTCACATGCACGGTCTCTCTCTAAATAAATAAATGAATAAACATTGAGGCACCCGGATAGCTCAGTTAGTTGAACGTCCAACTCTTGGTTTCGGCTCAGGTCATAATCTCTTAGTTCATGGGATAGAGCCCTGCATTGGGCTCTTCTCAGCCCAGAGACTGCTTGGAATTCTCTCTCCCTCTCTGCCCTTCTCCCGCTTGTGCATTCTGTCTCTCTCTTAAAATAAATAAGTAAACATTTAAAAGTGAGTAAACATTTTTTTAAAAGCTACTTAAAAAAAAAAAAGAGTTGCATCCTCTTCAAATGAGCCAGCTGGGCACTCCTAAGGTTGACTTTTAATGTTAAGGAACTGTAGTATTGGTAGTGTTTTGTTTTGTGTTTTTTGTTTTTTTTTTTTTTTGGTTAAAGTTTATTTTATTTATTTGGGGGTTGAGGGGCAGAGAGAGAGAGAGAGAGAATCCCAAGCAGGCTCCAAGCTGACAATGTAGAGCCAGACATGGGACTCCATCTCATGAACCATAAGATCATGACCTGAGCTGAAATCAAGAGCCAAACACTTAACCAACTGAGCCACCCAGGCACCCCTTGGTGGTATTCTTATAGAAAAAATCATGAAGCTTCAATTCAAATGAATAAGGATCAAGAAACTCCAATTTGTAGTCACTGTGCTAGATTTTGGGACTAAAATGGTGAGCAAAAACTGTCATGGACCCAAAAAAATCCAAAAAAAAGAAATACAAATAAATGATTTGCTTACCTAGTTGAATTTATCAAAGCCATTGAAAGCAAGGTCAATATACAAAAATCAATTGTATTTCTCTTTTTTATATAGATTAAAAAAATTTTTTGAGAGAGTGTGCACAAGCAGGGGAGGGGCAGAAAGAGGAGAGAGAGCATGCATGTGCTGGCAGCATGGAGCCCAACATGGGGCTCAGTCTCCTGAACTGTGAGATCATGACCTGAGCCAAGATCAAAAGTCAGATGTTTAACCAACTGAGCCACCCACGGTCCCCCAAAATCAATTGTATTTCTATAAAGCTATGAAAAGAAAAGAAAATTTGAAAAACAGGCCCATTTTCAATAACCTCAAAATAGGGGTGCCTGGGTGGCTTAGTCGGTTAAGCGTCTGACTTTCACTTAGGTCATGATCTCGCGGTTGGTGGGTTCGAGCCCCGCGTCGGGCTCTGTGCTGACTGCCAGCTCAGAGCCTGGAGCCTGTTTCAGATTCTGTATCTCCCTCTCTCTCTGACCGTCCCCTGCTCACGCTGTCTCTCTCTCTCTCCTAGAAATAAATAAAAATATTAAAAAAAAAATAACCTCAAAATATACCAAATACTTAGAATAAATCTGATAAATGAAGTATAAAATCTCTATACAGCAAACTGTAAAACATTAATAAAAGTAAGTAAGAAAGATCTAAATAACTGGAGGGATATACCATATTCATGGACTGGAAGACTGAATATTATAAAAATGTTAATTCTCTCCAAATTTATCTATAGAGTCAATGTAATACTTTTTAAAAATTTTTTTAAGTTTTATTTATTTCTGAGAGAGAGAGAGAGATGGTGTGTGCAGGGGAGGGTCAGAGAGAGAGGGAGACACAGAATCTGAAGCAGACTCCAAGCTCTGAGCTAGCTGTCAGCACAGAGCCCAACGTGGGGCTCAAACCCATGAACCATGAGATCCTAACCTGAGCCAAAATCAGATGCTTAACTGACTGAGCCACCCAGGCACCCCAGACTCAATGTAATCCTAACATATTTTTTGGTAGAAATCAACAACTTGATTCGAAAATATGTATGGAAATACAAAAGTATAAGAATCGCAAAAACACTCTGCAAGAAGAACGATACCAGATATTAACACTTATCAGAAATCTACAGGGGAGCCTGCGTGGCTCAGTTGGCTGAGTGTCGGACTTTCGATTTTGGCTCAGGTCATGATCCCAGGGTTGTGGAATCAAGCCCTGTGTCAGGTTCCATGCTGAGCATGGAGCCTGCTTAAGATTCTCTCTCTCCTTTTGCCCCTCTCCCCCACTTTAACTTTTCTCTCTATAAAATAAATGTAAAAAAATAAATCTACAGGGATGGTTTGCTGGCTCAGTTAGTAGAGCATGTGGGGTCATGAGTAAGAGCCCCATATTTGATGCAGAGGTTACTTAAAAAAAAAAAGATTTATCAGAAAGCTACAAATTAAGATTGTATGATATTGGCACAATGAGACAAATAGACCATTGACTACAATTCAGAGTCCAGAAACAAATCTATGCTTGATTTAGGACAAAAGTGTCACTCAGTGCCCTGGGAATCAGAAGACTTTTTCAATTAACGATCCTGGATCTACTGGGCATATAACTATAGGGGGAAAAATGAATCTTGACCTTTATCTAATAACATATACAAAAGTTAATTCCAGATTGATATCTATCTACATGTAAATTTCAGATTGTAAAAGGTAAAACAATTAAGTTTCTAGAAGATGACATAGGAGGATATCCTCATGACTTTCAGTAGGCAAAGAAATATTTCTTAAATAAGACACAAAAAGCACTAATTGTAAATGAAACAACTATTAAATAAGACTATATTAAAAGTGGAAACTTTTGGGAGGGCACTTGTGGGGATGAGCACTGGGTGTTATATGGAAACCAACTTGACAATAAATTATTTGTAAAAATAAATAAATAACAATAAAAGTGGAAACTTCGGTTAATCAATAGACACCATTAAGAGAGTGAAAACATAAGTCACAGAATGAGGAACAATATTTGGAAAATATTTAACCAACAAAGAGCTTGTACTAGAATATATAAAAAACTTGTACATCAATAAGAAATATATACACAATCCAATAGAAAATGGGCAAAGGACTTGAATAGTCATTGAAGAAAAGAAGCAATTAAGTATGAGAAAAGGTACTAAACTGTTCAAGTTATCAGAGAAATGGGCAAAGATACACTGTACTAAACACTTATGAGGCTAATTAATGGATTAATAATACCAAGTGTAAGCAAGGGCATAGAGCTATGAGAACTCTCATACAGGGCTGGTGGACATGTAAATTCATATAACCACGTGGGAAATCTGTTTGGCAGTATTTACTAAAATTGAACATTCGCTATGACCCAGCATTTCCTAAGCATATGCCCATCAGAAATATGCACATATATGCATCAAAAAGATTTGTACAGGGATGCCTGAGTGGCTCAGTTAGGTTAAGCATCCAACTCTTGATTTCAGCTCAGTTCATGATCTCATGGTTTGTGGGTTCATGCCCTATATCAGGCTCTGTGCTGACAGCGCAGAGCCTGATTGAGATTCTCTCTCTCTTTCTCTCTCTGCCCTTCCCCAACTCGCATTCTCACTCTCAAAAATAAATAAATAAACATTTTTAAAAAAGACATGTACACATATACAGAAAAAGTTCTGGAAATGGATAGTGTTGATAGTTGCACAACATTGGGAGTATACTTAATGCCTCTGAATTGTACACTTAAAAAATAGTTAAAAAGTTAAATATTTTGTATGTTTTTCTACAATAAAAATGACATACAAAAATGTTTTTATGGTATTATTTATACTAGTCAAGATTTCAACTGTATAATGAACACATTGTAGTATATTCACACAGTGGAATACCATATAACAATGCAAAATAATAGACTACAGTTATACGCAATAACTAGATTAATTTCACAGACTCAGTGTTGCATCAAAGAAGCGGAACACACAAAAAAACACAAACTGTATGATTTCATTTATACTGAGTTCAAAAAGCAGGCAAAATTAATTATGAGGTTTGAAGTTCAATGGTTACACTGAGGGGGGCTTTTGGAATCCTGGGAGTGTTCTATTTCCTGACCCAGATGTGTTCACTTGTGATAATTCATCAAGCTAAACACTTATGATTTGTGCACTTTTCGTTATGTTAGGTTTCAATTTTTAAAGTTTGTAAAAAGGGGGCACCTGGTTGCTTAGTTGGTTAAGCGTCTGATCCTTTTTTTCTTTCAGGGCCAATGATCACCAGCTGCTAGGGTACCAAAAATTATGCTTCTGAAATCTCTTGATGTCAATTCCGCATGAAGAGCAATCAAGCTGCCCTACAGGTGCTACTCACAACAGAAGCCCTTTTTATAAGCATCTGACTCTTAATATGGCTGAGGTCGTGATCTCACTGTCATGGGATTGAGCCCCTTCTTGGGCTCTGCACACCGAGAGAGAATGTTCAGAATTCTCTCTCTCCTCTCTCTCCCCCTCCCCAACTCTAACTCTCTTCCCCTCCCCCACTGTCTATCTCTCAAAATAAATAAATTTTAAATAAACAAATAAACCAACCAACCAACAAATTAATAAACAGAAAGTTTATAAAGAGGAGGAGGAAGAAGAGGAGATGAAGACACAGTGTCTGCTCTCATAGAACTTAAGGTCAAGATGAGTTGTATGAGAGTTGTATATTTAGTAATAAACAAAAAAACATAAAATTACAACCGTGATACCTATGATGAAATAAAGGCGTGGGATGGCCTGAGAACACATGGTAAGGAGATCTGACATGGCTAGAGAGGGTAAGTGATGTTGGAGTTGAGTTGTGAAGATGATAAAGAGGTAGAAGTAGACAGTAAAGCCTTCTAGGCAGAGGGAACCCTTGATCTGGTGCCTCCCAACATTTACATTTTTCATTGTCCTTGATTCTGTCCATTCTAGTCACCTACCCAGTCTGTACCTAATCCTGCTCCAGGACTGAGAGGAATAATTCCTTTTCTTTTTTAATGTTTACTTATTTACTTTTGAGAGAGACAGACAGAGATAGCACACAAGCAAGGGAGGGACAGAGAGAGAGACACAGAATCTGAAGCAGGCTCCAGGCTCTGAGCTGTCGGCACAGAGCCGAATGCAGGGCTCGAACCCACGAACCGTGAGATCATGACCTGAGCCGAAGTCGGACGCTTAACCAACTGAGCCACGCAGGCGCCCCAGGACTGAGAGGATTTCTTGACACATTTGTAATTTATTCCTGACCTGAGGTTTAGAAACAAAGTCCAAGTTACACAAATTATAGAAGTTTTTAAATTCTTGAATGGTTTGAGAGTAAATTGCTACCTGTAGCCCCACTGTTCCTGGCCACTCAGTAGGTGTTTCCTAAGGTAAGCACATTATCATTCACAGCTCCCTACAATCCAAATTAACATTAATACAGAACAATCACTTAATTCTCGGACTCTCGTCAAGGGTCTTCAGCTGTCCCCAAAAGATCCAGATCATAATTGTAACACTGCATTTGATTTTTACATCTCTTCAGTCTTATTCATCAGGAAAAGTTCATTCTTTGCTTGACATTCATGACCTGACATTTTAAAAGATTATAGGTCAGGGGCACCAGCGTGGCTCAGCCGGTTAAGGGTCCGACTTTGGCGAGGGTCATGATCTGATGGTTCCTGAGTTTGAGCCGCATATCAAGCTCCATGCTGGTGATACAAAGCCTGCTTGGGATTCTCTCTCTACCTCTCTCTGCCTTTCCCCACATTCACTCTCTCTTTCTCTCTTTCAAAAATAAATAAATAACCTTTTTAAAAATTTAAAATTTTAAAAAAGAATTAGATCTTAAAAAAAAGATTATAGGCCAGTTATCTTATGTCCCAATTTGGTTTTGCTGTGATTTCTTTGTGGTTGGATTCATGCTCTGTATCTTCGGTAGGAATACTGTAGAAGGGGTGATAATGTTCCCCTCATTGCATCCTATCAGGTGATGCAATACTTCAAATGTTCCTTCCTAGTGCTGATAAGGCATACTTTCCTACCACCTGATGAAGGTGATATCTGCCAGGCTTATCTACTGTGCAGATTCTCTTTTTTCAGGCATTTGTTAAGTACTTTACATAGAAGCATTTGATACTGTAAATGTCCTGTTCATTATGTAATCCTTTCGATAATTTTATCCCTATCGACTTGTGGTTTCTGGTTATATTCAGTGAACTGTAATCTGTTACCATCATTATCTATTTTGAACCTCAAAGTGTCCCCAGTTTAGTTAGTGAGAGCCCATTCTGTGTTCTTTGGACACATTTCCATTACTCTTTGAGTACTTCCTTTCTTGGGGGCACAACAAAATGTTCAGCCTATCTTGTACTTTCCTTCTTCCTGGTGGTGGAGTCAGCCATTCCTGCAAGAAGCCCTCTCAGTGAAAAATAATACTTAGAATCCAATCTATGAAGTAGGTGTGTTCATTGCTATTTGAGTGTTGTCTCCTGGCCTGCTCAGTGCACAGAACTAGGAAATGTATATATACACATAAACATTTATGTATCTACCTATCTTGTTATCTTATCTTTTTTTATTTATTTATTTTGAGAGGGTGGGGGGAAGGGGCAGAGAGAGAGGGAGTGAGAGAATTCCGACTTAGCACTGTCAGCACAAAGCCTGACTCTGAGTTGGAACTCAAGAACTATGAGAACCTGAGCCAAAACCAAGACTGGATTCTTAGCCCACTGAACCACCACGCTCCCCCCTTTTATCTTATCTTATCTTTCTGATAAGCTGCCAGCACAGAGCCGGATGCAGGGCTTGAACCCACAAACTCCAAAATTATAACCTGAGCCAAAGTTGGATGCTAACCGACTGAGCCATCCACGCACCCTTATCTGTCTCCTTCTTGAATAACATGAGTTCTCAATGATATCTCTAATTACAGTATAACTCCACAGGAGTCTTTCTAGTTTCCTCCTTTTCCATACTTGCTTTTCTCTTCTGTAACACTGAGAAACTTGGGTCCTTAATGATTTTACCTATTTATCAGCCTTTCTGCTTGTATCCAGTCTCCCAATGCTATCACCACCCCTTCCCCTGTGCAGATACCCTTCTCAATCCACTTGGACTCTGACACCCCGTGCCAGGCTGATATGTGAACACCCTCCTATGACATCCCACAGAGGGCCACCACATCCTTTTCCCTAGAGACTCTAACACCAATCCCAGGCTACCGTTGCCTGGACAATCTCCTTGCCTTGATGCACACCACAAGCCCGATGATTCTTTCTCCAAGTAAGTATGGCAGATGCTGCTAGTTCCTACCTAATATCCATGCTGCCTTTATGGGTTGAATTGTACCCCCCAGAAAAAGATATGCTGGAGTCCCCCCAGTACTTTAGAACGCAACCTTACTTGGAGATAGGAATGCCCTAAATGCCACTAGATTATTCATTTTAAAATGGTTAATTTTTTGTTAGGTGAATGTTACTTCAATTTAAAAAGAAAAGACAATAAAGGAATTAAAAAGGCAAATACTTAAGGACAAAGGGCATTAAGAGGACTGGTGAGAACAGACAGGAGGTGCTGACAAAATTTAGGAAAACAGGGGGGCGCCTGGGTGGCTCAGTCGGTTAAGCGTCCAACTTCAGCTCAGGTCATGATCTCATGGTTCATGGGTTCGAGCCCCGCATCGGGCTCTGTGCTGACAGCTAGCTCAGAGCCTGGAGCCTGCTTTGGATTCTGTGTCTCCCTCTCTCTCTGACCCTCCCCTGCTCACACTGTCTCTCTCTCTCTCTCTCTCTCTCAGAAATAAATAAGACATTAACAAATTTTTTTTTAATTTTAGGAAAAATGGAAAGTAAATGGTGATGGGTCACTGACTCAGCAAAGCAGAAACAGGCATGCAAGGAGGTAGCCATAAAGAGACCAGATGATTCACACACACAACTCTCACGATCTTAGACACCTCAGGGACCTCTGATGATGGGAGGGGAGGTGGTGCTGAGACAGTAGAACTGGGGTTCAAGTTGGCATAAAGAGTAGTTGGACCCTTTGACCTCTTCATCTAGCCCATGTAGCCAGATGGCTGCACCTTCCCTTCTCCAACGGTTGGGGGTTATTTCTAGAGCAGTCTCCACAATAGAAAGCATGGTGATGAGATAGCACACTGAAAAACAGGACAAAAGTCTGGCAAGACCTTCCAGTCCTTTTTTTAACCAGCTTCCAGAATGTAGGCAGGCAAGACTATATTCCTAGCCAAGAGACTGGAGGACTCTCCCTTGAAGAAACCGAATCACCCCCGGAAAAAAAGGTCTATAGACACCAACATTTGGGGCACTCTGCAATGAAACCAACTTGCCCACAAGCCCACACCATTCTCCTAGAGTTACTCAGCTTCTTAGTGCCTCTCTCTTAAATACAAATAATTGCCAAGGATCACCCACTGAGAAGCACCTGTAACCTGAACATCAGAGATTTAAAAAAAGAAGAAAGGAAAAAAGAAACTTAAATGGAACAGAGAAAGAGGGCCAAAAGAAAGAAGTAATAATATCCTCAAAAAGACGTGAGACGATATTGCAATCACGAACCAAGAGAAATGGTCTATAAAAATGAAACCATAGGGGTGCCTGGGTGGCTCAGTCAGTTAAGTGTCTGACTTCTGCTCAGGTCATGATCTTGTGGTCTACGAGTTCCAGCCCCACGTTCTGTTCTGTGCTGACAGCTCTGAGCCTGGAGCCTGCTTCAGATTCTGTGTCTTTCTCTCTGCACCTCCCCTGCACATGCACATGCAGGGTCTCTGCCTCTCTCTTTCTCTCAAAAATAAATAAAAACATTTAAAAAATTAAGTCAGAAAGGGTATTTGAAAATTAAAACATTATAGGGCAAAATAACGATTCAGATTGAAGAGTGGAATTTAAGGACAAGAAAATCTCCTAGAAAGTGAAACAAATTTGGGGCACCTGGGTGGCTCAGTGGGTTAAGTGTCTGATTTCAGTTCAGGTCACGATCTCACGGCTGGTGAGGTTGAGCCCTGTGGTGGGCTCTGTGCTGACAGCTCAGAGCCTGGAGCCTGCTCCAGATTCTGTGTGTGTGTGTGTGTGTGTGTGTGTGTGTGTCTCTCTCTCTGGCACTCCCCCGCTCAAGCTATGTCTCTCTCTGTCTCTCAAAAATAAACATTAAAAAAAAGAAAGATGCTCCCACCTCAGATGCTAGTCACAAGTCCAGGTTGTCATCTGTGCTTCTGACTGGCTATAAATCAGGGGGTCCAGTAACCCCCTCTTCAGATTAGATTATTTGTTAGAATGGCTCACAAAGATCAGGGGAACACTTACTTACATTTACCAGTTTATTATTATTTTTTAAAGTTTATTTATTTGGGGGAGGGGAG